ATACAAACAATACACCCCAACATGCTGACCTTTAAATAGCACATAATTATGTCAGAAATGCATTAAATATATACAAATCGAGAACATTATTAGATTTCTTTGATTATGATGACAAAATGGATACAGAGAGAAGAGCTAGTTATAATGCACATATTTTAGTGTGGAATTGAATGAATCAGCCCTCAGACACACACAAGCTGAGTTGATTCCGACTGGGTTTATTAGTGCTGCTATGAGTGACACAGGTAGTGCAGTTTGATGACACTTTTTAGATTATGTTCAAAAATACTCATTATACAGACACGCCATACAGATCACTTTAAAATTAACTTCATAAAAGTATGAGCAGATTTGGTATTTCTAGAATCTAGATGTTTATAACATTTATTCATAGGCCTATGTTGGACACTTTAATAAATAAAGTCTGTATTTATAAAGAGGTGTCTCAGTTTTGTACACAGACTACGCTGTTTATGACATAAACATGCATGCAAAAAATAACTTTCCTGAACACAATACTTTGCACTCATTATTTTTTTGCAATTTTGACTTCTGCGATTTATTTCGATATCTATCTAACACATTAGATCAACACATTAGACTTTTCTGAAATCCCTAAGATGTTTTCTAACCACACCAGAAGAAAGAATGTTGATATTATACCCAGAGGAGACATACCACACCTATTAGTGTTTTTTGTGCCAAAAAAAAAAATCTGCCTGAGTTTGATAATCTGGGACAGGTCACTTTGTAATCTGGGACATATGTATTAGGCCTAAAAAAAAGCCTATATTCACCATACTTTATGCATGCCAAACACAATATCACCAATTTTTAAAAAGCATTATGAAAAAAATGACAAGTACAGAAATCTCAATAAGGAAATTTATATTTCAATATCAGGAAAAATTATTTATTTCTGTACACAGGATGAACAATCTACTGTGTTAATTCATTTTAATTAATTTAAAACTATTAAAATTGTTTAACATTTGTTTAACATTGTATTAACATTTTAAAGAATAAACTAAAATTTAAGCAACAGCAAGCAATAATTTGCAGATCCTCCTCCTGCTCAGTGATTTGAACTGTTGTATATACTAAACTAACTGGGAATTTGGGAAATGAAATTAACTATTTACTTCATCCCGATACCTTTGCTTGCTACTGGAATACATTTCACAGATTCCATCTCTGTAGCATCTCTCTAGCTAGCTGGTTTAGCTAGCTGATAGCTACTGTGAACTTATGCTAATGTTATAACCTCCAGTAGTCCACATTAAAGGGTTAGTTCACCCAAAAATGAAAATTAGGCTGCGTTTTACTCACCCCCGAGGCATCCTAGGTGT